TTCTTCGGCAGGATTCTTCGAGACTCTTTACAAGATCATGATACGTGAGATAGAGTCTCTTTTTTATACTCTCATTGATGATCTTTTTCGTGGAAACGAGGCTATTAAGCATTGAGGAAGATTCTGAGTTCAAGAAGGAATCCATTTAATGGATAAACCGTAGAGCAAGATCAGAGGATGGAAGTTCTTAGCACCTGTTTAGATCCTGTTCAAGTTCATCAGGAAGCTTTTTATAACAGATTTCGTCTGTCGTGCAGCAACCAGCCAACCAGCACTAGAGGGGATACACGACGTTGGGTCCGCTTCGAGTGGAGTATCATCTCTAACTCGTACTTTTTTGCGTACGCCGAGTTTGGAAATAAATCGCCACCATATTCACTAATCCCTCATGAGTTTCTGGGATTTCCAACCGACGGCTGGAGTGGCGTATGTTGCAACGGGTCAGAATATGCAACGAAGGGACAAGTGCATCTAGTGAAATGATAAAATGTTGGAATTGACCTGTGTCTATTTTTGATGAAATGTGACTGGCTCCATCTTGTTGTTGAATAGTCAGCTTGCATCGGGCGAAAGGTTCATCAAATAATGCACATGACAAACTAATTATTCGGTATTGTCGTTCATCTTCAAACATCGAACGAGCTTCTAGTTCTCAAAGATCAATTTTAAATAACTGATTTGACTCAGAGACTTTAAGATTATTCGGGCATATACCTGTTCACAAGGCTTCATGTTTTACGCGAACAGTAGAGAACACTTTTTCAATGAACTACGCTAAACCATATACAATGCAATCATCGACCTAAAAATGTTGATCTGCATCTTCTTCGATAAAATCAGCTTCTTCTTCAAGAGGTGCGTCCTGATGTTGTTGATATTCCGCCACCAAATCGTTCATGTTAGATTCCGCTTCAGTGAATTCCATTTCGTCCATTCCCTCATTTGTGTACCAATGCAAGAAAGCTTTACGACGGAACATCGCCGTGAATTGCTCCGAGACTCTTCTGAACATCAATTGGATTGAAGTCGAGTTACCGATAAACGTCGACGACATCTTCAACCCTTTAGGAGGGATATCGCATACAGCCGACCTGAAAGGCGCCCATGAAACCGTGAATGAGAGAGCTGAGTCTTACTTGATATTGTTTGGTATCCACTCAACGAAATAGGTCTTATTCTTATTTTGGACGTTTAACATCTGCTCATCGACCTCTTTCGTCGACATCTTCCCGCGGAACATCACGGATGCCGTTAAATACCGACCTTGACGAGGGTCACTTGCACACATCATGTTCTTGGCGTCAAACATCTGTTGAGTGAGTTCAGGAACAGTCAATGAGCGGTAGATCTGGGATGATTGGGACGTCAGTGGAGCAAAACCGATCATGAAGAAATGAAGCCGTGGGAATGGAATCAAATTAACACACATCTTTCGCAAATCAGAGTTGAGCTGTCCAGGGAACCGAAGACAGCAAGTGACTCCAGACATTGCGAAAGAGACAAGATGATTCAAATCGCCTAAGAGAAGAGAAGAGATGACATCAACGCGATGATAAAAGCATTACCGTATTTTGGTGTTGAGAGTTTCAAAGTACGGAAACAAATGTCATACAACGCTTCATTATCGATCACTTGCACAGCATCAGCATTTTCAACAAGTTGATGGACTGAGAGGGTGGCATTGTAGGGCTCAACGACTGTGTCAGAAACTTTTGGGGAAGGGAACACCGAAAACGTTTCCATAATTCGATCAGGAAATTCTTCTCGAACCTTCGAAATCAGTAACGTTCCCATTCCAGAACCAGTGCCACCGCCCAAAGACTGAGTGATCTGGAATCCTTGCAGACAGTCACAGCCTTCTGCCTCTTTGCGAACGACCTCGAGAACGCCCTCTATCAATTCGGCACCTTCAGTATAATGGCCCTTCGCCCAGTTATTGCCAGCGCCAGACTGCCCGAACACGAAGTTATCCGGGCGGAAAAGGTAACCGAAGGGTCCAGCTCTGACAGCATCCATCGTCCCTGGTTCTAAATCCATAAGGATTGCACGAGGGACGTAACGACCACCAGCAGCTTCATTGTAAAAAACACCGACGCGCTCAAGCTGGAGATCAGATTCCCCAACATATGCACCCGACTAAGAACAAGAAATAAAAACAACGAAAATAAAGAAATGAGAGGAAAATAAAGAGAACTTACTGAATCAATGCCGTGCTCATCTGAGATGACTTCCCAAAATTTAGAGCCAATCTGATTTCCGCATTGGCCAGCCTGCACATGAACGATTTCACGCATGATCAAGAAAAGGACTTCAAGACGGAAATGAATGAAAAGGGACTTTGAAGAACTGAAGAGAGGAGGGTGTTAGTGTGAGGAATGGTTTTAGAATTAAATCTCACCTTTGAAATTGCGCGTGGACGTAGATCCCCAAAAAAAAGCAAAAGGGAGGAAGAGAGGTGATTATCGTTTCAACAGCGTAGAACCCGGACATGCACTCTGCATGTAGGCATCCAACGAGAGCGACGCAGTACAAACACACAACGACCGAAAATTGAAGAATAAAAGAAATTTAACTAGAAAAATGATCAGAAAACTGGAGGAATCTCATCAGAGGTCATCTATGCAATCAAATGTTAATATTTCATCTTCTCGTTGGCACAATTTCATGGCTGATAGTCCCGTTAATTCTTCCAACATTTCAGACCGTCCAATCGCTTCTGAAATAAATTCCAATTTTTTGCTCGAACAAATCTTTTCAGCAATTGGGAAACTGCAACTGATGCAGTGACTGAAAGCGTCTGTTTCTGTACAGATAAGCTGGAAATTTCCCAGAGATCCTCGGACGCAATGAGGCACCGCTCCCAAACAGCTTTGGGTCGGATGCGTCGGTCCATGATCCAGGGCGCTATGAGGAGGATTTGGGGCGAGAGGATGTTGTGCAAGAGCCGCAATCAGCTCAGCTGCTGTGCTTGATGCCAATCCACTGATACCAGGTCGTGTGACAGTACATTGCTGGTCAAGAGGTCGACGAGCTAGTGAATCTGCTGGAGCAGTAAGATCGTTGCAAAAATAGCACGCCAATGGGGGCGGCTCGCTGTCTTTGAGCGTTCGAGGAGAGAGAGGGATATCGATTCGTTCATCGGATGAGGCAAGAGCTCGTTGGCCGTGCCGCATGACAACGAAGCTATCAAATCCCAAAGCTGCTGTAATACATAAGGGAAACTTGTATGTTGGTGGGGAGGAGAATAAAGATTTCCATAAATCAAGATCGTTTTCTTGAAGAGGGTCCATTTGAGAGCTTGGCTGACTTGCACCGTTGATTGAATGTTGTAATGAATCCACTGAAGTAAACGCATTATTATGATGTGGGGAGTATTCAGAACTTGGGACGAGAAGAAACTCAGGGGGTTCTCTCAGTCTTGGTGATGATGGAGATGTGACGGAAACGAGATTTGAATTTCCGCGAAATGGTCTGAAAAACAAACAATCGCACATTAAGGCACAGATTGATTCAAACAACTGCTTCTAGATGGTCTCTGTGAAATCTGACCTCGTTGAAGCAAGCATTGATGGCAACCAGCGTGACTCTCTTGAATCAGTCAAGAGAAGAATAATATCATGAGAATCAACGAGTCGTTCGAGAAGATCAACAGTAAGTCCCAATTGGGAATCCTGATTTTCCCGATGATTTGATGGTGTCCCAATGAGTTGAGTTGATGAAGATAAATACCGTGAATGTCCAGGCATCGGAATATCGAGAGGAAGAGAAATAATTGCGAGATCTGGTCGAATTTGAAGAAGTCGTTGTTTAGCTGCAATGACTTTCAATCGTCCTCTTCCATTGTTCCAAATTGCGTCTTCATGAAGAAACAGAGATTGTCGTGCGGGTGATGATAATGCGACACGTCCGACATCAATAAGAGTAAAGTGCGTTGATCCCCAAGCGACAAGAGTGCGTAAGAGATTGCAGCCGAGAGTCCCAATTCCGAATATTAAAAAACGCAAATTCTGTAATTTTGATGCATTCAGGGCAGGCAGAATTCTCCATTGGATCAACCGGATGTTCAGCTGAACTGCATCAGCTTGTGACACGATTGGATCCATGTGGCGTCGTAAGTCGATCAGAAATGTCGCTGAAGTTGAATGCGAATTCTCTTTTGGGAACATCGTGGCGCAACCATCCAGAAATAAGCGGATCTCTACCGCCTTCAGTTGCACTTCCAGGAGACGATGACTCTTCAGTTTTGAGTTGCGCTACATTCTTCAAATTAAAGCAATTCGGATCTGGCATATGAACAATTGCACCGATGCTGTGACACACAACACTAGAAGATTTTTGTTCTGAACGGAATCGTTGAGCACCAGAAGCGCCATCTCTGAACGCCAGAACCTTTAATTTGGTTCCAGCAAGTCCCAAACAGCCCAACGCAAAGAAAATTGCCCGAAGCGGCCATCCGAAGAACGTGCTGTCAGATTTAAGCGAATCAATGACGCAAATAATTGCTTCAGAAAATTCAGACTCGAGAGAGAATTCAGATGAAGAGGATGATGTTTGACGGTGAGAGTGAAATCTCTTGAGGAGTTTCCAAAGTGGGACAAGAGTCTTTCCGTTGCCGATCGATTTCGAATCATCACGAAGAGCATCCAGCCAATCAAATGGATTGCTATGAATGGGAGTCTTCGCTCGAATGAAAACACAAATGCTGAAAAGTCCGCATTCTTGAGAAGATTCCTCTAGAAGAGATTCTCCAATATGAGCGAGATCAGAAAAAATCTAAATGAAATGGTAATTCGTTAGTAGAATGGACGATTGAGGCAGAGATATCGACAGTTGGTCTTAAAGTCGGTAATGCAACATTATAATAATAGAGATGCGATTTGAGATCAGCAAAAGAGAGAATAAGAAATGGAGTTAAATGACTGATGAGATTATCTGATGAAGAAATACACCGAAGAATTGGAGGCGGTGTGGATGAGAAATTCTCTAAAGCTGAAACAGAATCAGAAATTTTTTGGATGACGGATGCGGATAACTGATGAACAAAAACGTGGCGAGGCAATCGACGAAAATCTTCAGCGGAATTTGCATTAAAAAAAATCCCATAAGCAGACAAGGAATCGCATAATGTGTGAGGAGAACTATCGGAAAAGGAAGAAGGTTGATGAGGTTCGAAGGCATCGCCCTCTAAATGAAGCCTCCAGCCTAGTGATGATGATTGTGGTTGATCAGAGTTGTTAGACGTAGTTGAACTTGATAAGGCGGGGGGTAGAAGGGGAACCAGAGATCCATGGATAGGAACTGTTGGTGTTTGTAACCTCCATTTAACTAATTTCGCTGAATTCAATTCGCGCCAAAATCCAAACCCCACGGTGCAAATTGCGGGATAGAAGTGAAGCAATACTGGAGCCCCCTCTGTGTTTGAAATCATGAGGGATTTCTTGATCTTAACTGTTCTAACAGAAGGATCTGCTACTTCTCTGAGGGACTGAATCAAAAAAAGAACGAATAATGTAGTTAAGATGCCTAGAGGAAGAGAGCTCTCTCCTCCGACAACACCGCTTCTCCGACACTTTCACAATTGTATACTAGACAACGTTCGTTGAGGCAGTTTGTTGCACGTGTGGAGTCACAGACCCTTTTTCCTCTCAGGGTGTTTCGTGCGAAATTGAAGTTGCCATCAAACAACGGAAGAAAAAATCTTCTCCAGCTATTGAAACTGCGTGTGTTGATGAGATCGTTGGTCGTTCTCACAAGCTCTGCATTCGTGTCTGCCCTGAAAGGTCCAGAGAGTGGAATCTGTCGGATAGCATCAAATCACTGATTGTTTTCTCAGAACAGGAATTTGGAAAGAATCATGGAGGGAATCATTCATAAAACAAATGACCGCGAGAGGCGGAAGGGAAATGCGTTTGAGTAATTTCGCTCGATTTCTCTGCGATGCGTGCAATTCGGCATCTGAACGAAAGCGTCACTCCATCACTGTGATGCTTCTAACGTGAGCGACTCTTCCCTCCCATGAATTCATCGCAATTTCTAGTGCAGGTCAATTAAATCTTCCTGGAGGATCTTCAACTGAACCCCCATGGAGTGGAAATCCGATCGCTGATTATCCCACCCGCGTGTACTTCATTGTTTCGTGGAATTTTGAGAAGGTTTGATGACAAACAAAATTTCTTACTTTACATATTTTCGAATTTTTAGACTGGCCCGCTGCATTTTCCTCTCGCTCTTTCCTTTGAATCAAAAGATTCCAAACTCCTCAGAGGAACCCGAAGTTCTCCTTCTCGATCGGCAATCGAGCGTCCACTCTCATCAAACTCAGCGCGAATATCCGATGGCTTCAACTTTCGCGCGAGAACATTCCGATCTCGCAGTTCAGAGCGTTTCAATCTGTCGCACTCTTATTACGACCCACGCCCTCCATCGACGTCTCGTTCTGACGCTTCGACCTTCCGTCATTCAGAGAATCAAAATCTGTTCAACAGAGTCATCGTGCTGTAGAAGATAACAGCTTGATTGCAAGTCTTGAATTGAGACTCGCTCGTCTACGCGTAAGACAACATGAATTTCACATTCATCATCACTCGATTCTTGTGTGTCCCAATTCTCTTGATTATTTCAGTCACGTCTCTTGAATTCTGATTCGTCGTGCGCCAAGACTTATGGAGCTCTTCAACCCTCAAAAGTTGTTCCACGAAGAGGAAGGTCACTCTACTCCTCTCCGAGAAGATCTTCAAAAAGTGAATTTTCGTATCTAAGACCGACGCAAAGTTCACTTGCTCGAGAGAGGAGAACCTCAAAGGAATCGGATCATGTACGTCAGAATTTTATCGTTTTTTTCCATTTTTAGAGAATTTTCAGAGACGCCCACCACAACGCGCGGCAACCCGTTCCCTCTCTGAGAGTCGAAGGGTTTCTTCACGGCGTGATTTATCGGCCCCACTTGATCCGAGCAACGCAACTCGTCTCCTTGAAAGAACTCTTCGTCGTTCAGTGTCGCTTGATCGTGCGCTCAATCAACTTGGATACGACGATAGAGAGGGTGATATGTCGCGCCGAGATGGTTATCGTTCGCGCCCATCTGAATCCTTGTGTTCAGTTCGTGCAACAAGTTCTGTGGATGCTCGAAGACGAAGATCCACATTTTCAGACTATAGTCCCAAACCACCCAAAATGAAGCATGAAGGTCTAAAGCATCATCGTCATTCCAAAAGAGAAATTCGTTCTGATGTTTTTATTAAAAATAATCAATTTGATGATCGATCGCCATCTTTAAAGAAACGACGTGATAGTCCCACACTTCTAAGACGAGGATCCTATCCATCATCACCTCATTACTCATCATCACCTCATCATTATCCATCATCAGTTCATTATTCATCATCATCATCACCATCAATTCATTATTCATCATCATCATCACCATCAATTCATCATCCATATTCTCCATCTTCTTCAAGTTCTGAAGGTGCTTATTCTAGAATTTCAAATCATTCTCATAAATCAAGTCAATCAATTGTTTCTGCAAGACTCTCATCTGTTCATTCTTATCGTTCAACAAAATCAGATCAACGAAGGAATCACAAATTTGATCCACAGACTTCTTTTAGATCTCGCAATGATTCTCCTCTTCATTCATCTCGTGAACGTCAAAACTCTCTGGCTGAGCGCGTTTTTATTTGAGTGAAGCCGTCAGAAAAGGAAATCCCAATCCTTCACCAAGGAACAATCGTACCAATGTCCCAAAATCATCACGACTATCAAACAACAATCGATCAAGTTCAACTCTTCGCGATCAGAAAGTCGACGACAAAATGATTTTACTTGGACGACGAAAATCGATCGACTTTTCAAAATCAATAAAACATTCAAGCTCACCATCTCCACCACCGCATGTTCGTTATTCGAGGGATCTTCTATTGACGGACTCCTCTTCATTAGAAAAAGCGCAAAGTGTTCAAATAACGAAGAAGCTTCAAGACGCGCCTAGGATTCCTTTATCTCCTCCGCCTTCTGTTGAAATCCAAAAGTTTGACACGATTGCTTCTCGACTTGAGGCTCTTAGAACGTTTTACGATCCGCAAATAATCAATTGTAGAAGATCGTATTTTTGTGTTTGAAAGTCCTCTAACGCTTCCGGATACTTTCTATTCTATAAGTCGATGATCATTTCGATAATTCGATAATTTCACAATGCACCTTCTTGATTTTTTCCCAATGATGAAGAAATTGGAAGAGATGAATGAAACGGCACTCGTGATCAAAGTAGGAGCAAGGCGTCGCTTGGTAGGAAGATTTTCAGTTCCTTGGGTTGGAATTGGGTTCGGGATCACTGCGTCTCCTCCAGCTTGCCGAGTGTCTGTCTGAAGGACTTGGCTCGGTGGCTCAACAGGCTGAAGAGTTGGACGCACAACGGGCGCATCAGGATGACGAGGGGGGTTTCGGTTTCTCAGCGATGCGATGCCATTGCTTCGTATTTGGAAATGTCTTGCCGTTCAATTCTGCAACAAATTAGATCAAGGAGAGGGAGAGGGCCGATGATGTGTTGACCTTCTTCTGTGAAAGCAATGAGAGTGATACTTCCATCGTCTGCAGCAATAGCGGAAACTAAACCATCTGACGTCCTGAGAAGCAAATATTGAAATAGTAACTGATTTGTGTGATTACCATGCGATATCTGTCACTGATGCTTGTTCGTCAAACAAACGAGGTCTTAAAACGAGGAAACATTTAGCAGTTGGTTGAGAAGACAGTTGTTGCGAATTAATTGGAGGTTCTACGTCTTTGAACGAAGAAGGAGATTGATTGGCATAGAAGTACTTCCACACTGAAACAGCTCCATCTGTTGATGCTGAAAGACAGAATTGCGTATTACAGATTAGAAGGAATGTTATTAAAAGCTGATCTGCATCAAAGTAAATTACCTTGAAGATATAAAGTAAATTTAATCTCATCTTGATTGAGAGATTGATAACCATTTCGGGGAGAATGATCGGATTCACTCAATTTCGTCCGTCCCATTCCAGAGACATCTTTCTCTTCTGCAGAGAGATCAGTTTTGGTCCAAACGCCCTTTGAAAAAGACTTCGAAACAGATCGAGATCAGGAAGAAGAGAGCAACTCTCACCACTGCATTGACTCGCTGTAAATGACCGCGAAAACGAAAAGGCTCCGAGGGAAGCGTGGAGTCTGACCGCTTGTCCAAAGGAAACGCAACACCGAAGTATTGAGAACCTTTTTGGCCGTTCGGAAATGCTAAGACTCGACTTGCAGGATCAAAGCTAAAAAATGAATGAGAAGAGCGATGAAAAAGGCAGTTGTAATTATTGGGTAGATTTTACCTTCCACGTCGATTGTAGGGAAGATCGGAAGGACCTTTTAGAAATAAATCAGTTTCATCAAAAACAACTCGATAACCATCAGGTTGAATTGATGGTTTTGAATGAGCGTCCGGAGTGAGAGATTTTTCAACATTAGAAGGACCACTAGGTTGTTTGGAAGAACGAGACCAAACAACAACACGCTTATCGTTGCTTTGCGCGGCAATGAATCGACGCAAATAGGAACAAACGCCTTTAACGAACCCCCCACTATAACGAATTACTTGCGACACCCCTAAGACAAACAAAATTATCATGTTTAACAGCAATGCTTACGCTTGTCTTCTATACTCCATATTTTAATTCCATCGACACCACCAGTAATCAGCTGATCCGCTCCAAACCAGCACATATCGAACAAATCTGAGTGAGCTTCGATCATTTTTTGCTGAGGTTTCCAAACTTCGTCGAGTGCAGCGGTGTTAATTGCCGCATTTTGTTGGGTGCTTCCATTAGAATCAAGTGGATAAGAAAATCGAACAAACTGCCAAATAAAAATTTGGCGCGAGGTCACATGAAGCTAAAAGATTTCCTAAATAGAAAAAACTCAGAAGTTGATTACTCAAAACTTCTAGCAGACCTGAAGGGCTCCAGCGAAGCGCAACAAGATGGGAAGGGGAGTGATCGCTGAGAACGGCAACACACCGAGACCGGCAATGGCAGTTGGATGAAGATGGGAATTCGGTAGTTGGAGCAGATGATGCATCTACGCTTGGGGAATGCGCTTGATCAGCCGATAGATTCATCGCTGAGGGCGTGAAAACAATTTTCATTTTCTAGCTTCCTTTTCTTTGCAGTTTCTGAGAATTGAGACTGTTCAGAATCCGTTGTATTGAATTGCTGAGTGACTGAAAGAGATCCTGCAACAACGCGACTCGTTAAACTTGTACTGAATGGCAACAAACTGAAGCTCCATATCTTGATAAGACATCCAGCAGCCCCAGCAAGGCGTTCCACTCCACACCATCCAGCACTCTGTTCATCGATGGGATGAGGCTGAAAATCGAGACCAACAATCGCTTTCGCTGTTGGAAATCCTAAACCAGGAGGTTTCTCAATCAAAACCATATTTCAGGCCCAGCAGTGTTTCCTGTTTGCTTTACTCTTTTAACACGAGCAGGTACAAACCAGCTACCTGATCTGATGCCTTGATGAGAAGGGTTTCCCCCCTTCACATCGTTTCAGTTCTCTGCTTACGTTTCGTCGAATTGTCGCCATTTTTCGAACGCCCTCACTGTGGTGAAAAAAAAACGGAAGACTGTAGCTGTCGTTCCGTCCTCCCCTCCCTCTCCTCTTAAAAAACTACGGGATTCCATCGTCCAGGCAACAAATGAGGTTAAATCGGTGGTTGTAACAGGCCACAAACTCCTCACAAAAGAGCCACCAAAAGATGTTGGGCCGCGAACCCGCCGTGAGGCAAGGAACTACACGGAGCCTCCCAAGCCGAAAAGCAGGTGGAAAATGCCTCGTCCCGATAAATGGGTTGCCTCGCTCGCACTGAAGCTCGATACTCCAAGTGAGGCGTGGCAAGAAGAGCAAAAAAAGAAAAAAGAAATAGAGAAATCCGAATCTCCCGATCAACCACTTGCTCACATTCCATCGATAACGAGATACACATTAGATCCAGTCCCAATGATTGACAGTTTACAAGTTCGTCGTAGCCCTTGATGGAAGTATTATCCCAAGGATTCAGTCGGGCAGCCTGATTGCGTATTCCAATGTTTCTCCGGAAACAGCGACAGTGGAGAAAAAACCAATAGAGCAAAAAACAGAAAAGAAGGATGAAGGACTAAAGAATCGATTTGTGACTCCCGCAAAAATTCGATTGAAAGTGGGGCTCTGAAATAAAACGTCGCACCTTGACGCTCTCTGTAGGGATTGCCGTACAATGCCACCGAACATCGAATAGCCAGATGGTTCCATGGCTTTGAACTTGCTTCTGTTGCTCGGCCTGTTCAATGGATTGACTGTAGGGAATCAAACCCTCTGAGATATTTTGTGAAAAGATTGAGTTTCAGATCCCGATGGACGATTTTCAGGAATGGCTTTCGTGGCGTTTGATCGATATGGAGAGGTGAGTTGGAAACAACAAGCCTTTTCAAACTAAACTTACCGAGAGAGTAAAGACCTTCTTCTGAAACTTTTATTCAGGCTTGTCGTGCATTGCGTGTGAAACGTAATGGCTGGTTGTGTGGGAGGTGAGAAATTTTTATCATGAATCAGTAATTTTGATTTTTTAGATCACTAATTTCTTTTCTTCAAACAGATCAAATCAAGATGAATTTAGTTGAAAATCCTAAAGATCTTCCACGAATGACTCGTCATCCACTTCACGTCATTAATCGATCCAAGAAACAGGAAAAACACATTTTCTGAATCACCATTTTCGCAGTGATTTTTTCCATCGAGCAATATTTATTTTCCTTGGTTCATGATATCCGAAGACACTTGCAGCATCGTTACACAAGATGGTGCGGATCCAGCAACAAACCATTTCACTTGCTTGCGTGAAAAACTAGCAAAGTTAATTTTTTTTCTGGCTTTCGCACAATAATGGAAAGCTAAAAATCACAAGTAGACGTTCAGGGAGATTTAGTGCTCGACACTGGGGACTCATTGGAACGTTTTGACCGAGTTGCGCTTGTGTGGGGTTTGGAAGACTTTTTCTCTTTGCTACTGCCTTCTTTCGCATGCTCTGTTTTCGAAGGTGATCCAGTTTTAGCAGGAGATGGTTCGCGAACTTTAGGCGATTTCGACGATGGTGCCCCCACTGATTTGCGTTTCTCAACTGAAGGAGTTCGGTGTCGCTTCGTTGGATCAGGCTGAAACAAAAAGACGACTCCAATTTGATTTCATCCGAACTCACCTCATCCTTCGAAGTTTTCTCCGACGCGTCTGGACGCGGACTGCGTGATGTTCCTTGTGGAGCTTTTTGTTAGTAAAGTTTGAAAGAAGGCACGAAGGGATTCTGCGTCTCCCTAATTCCAAAAATGAGGAAAATCATTGAAAAAGAATGGATTGATCTTATTGCAAGATATGGTGATTAATTGCGTACCCGAGCAGATGTTGCTTCAATTTGACGTCGAGAACCAACTTGCGTCTCCGGTGAGCTTCCCTCAGTTGGGACACTCGCGCGGGCTTGTTTCTGGATAAAACATGAGTGATCATATCAGACCAGGCTCAACTTACTCGTGATGTCTCTCTAATAGCCGGTTGGGAAAGAAGTAACAGACGGACGAGTTGATTTAGAACTTGGTCGTTCCTTAACGAGTAGAGCAGGATCCTTCGTCTGAAGAAATTACAACATTTGTTCATTCATTCCACCGCATGACTGTCCCAATCTCATGTCCCAATCTCATGTCCCAATCTCATGTCCCAATCTCACCAGAACAGTTTCTAAGAAATCATCCATTGATTGGATGTTCACTTCACTTCTTGGATGTTGGGACGTCTGCGAGAAGAACATGTGAAGCCAAATCGCTACAAGACTTTCATTACGGGAGCAACTTCTGTAGGCGCAGGCAGCAACGCTTCCAATGGTGTCTGATGAAAGAGTGGTGTGACTGAGCTTTTGCATTCACTCACCTCAAGTCCACCACCAACAGTTTTGGCCGCAAATTCTCTGATAATCAAGAAAATGAACGGCGATCTAATGATTGGAACTTACTGGATCTCTGAATCATTGTCCCAACCAGATGGAATGAAAACAGAATCAGAGGGAGCGAGAGCGGCAGGCTCTCTGAGAAGTGATTTGTTCAGAACAGAATGACGCGCTTCGATCTTACAGAAATTTGAAATCGTAAATTCGATGCAAAAATATAACGATAAACAAGTTCCAAGTTACGCGCACTGAAGATGAAGATGTGAAAGCGTTAGTGTTGGAGAGACTGACGCTAGTGGACTCTTCGTACAACAATAGACCAAAGCAGCACCATCTGAAAGAGGTGCATGAATAATGCATGTGAAAGATAACGTACAAGGGAGACACATGCGTCTGAGATGAGCGAGTACAACATCTGCTCTTCCAGGGGAAGATCGAGTGTCAAGATTGGAAGCGGAATCAGACTGTCAAGAAATGAGATAGAGAGATTGGAATGATCAAATATTTTGCAATAACCTTGCAAACCAGAAACAATGATAGGGACTCCAACATTAACGCACAAAGTTGTCTGAAATAGAAGAATGTTGTTAATAGTGGATAGCAGCACTTACATCACTCTCGTCTTCTTGAGAAGTTCCCTCGACTTTAGAGCGATACGTATTCAAATAGCGAGATACTAAGAGACAAAACGAATAGCCGATTTCTGATGATGCGTCACTCACATCGAGCACGAAGAGCATCTTGTTCCTCAACTGGCAATTCTTTCATCAAATCTCGTAGAAGTGTTGTTGCGAAATCAATCCATTCCCGTAATTGCTGCTTTAACGTCCACGGCTGCATTTACAACACTCGTGATATAGAAGCGATGGAATCCCATATTGTACCTCTGATAGATCTAAGCAAATCATGACAACGAGATGCCGAAGATGGCATGGGGACAAGAACGACGAGAGTAAATGCTGAAAGTTTGAAATCGGGGATAAAAAAGAGTTTATGGGACATACACGATGTTCAGGATCTTGAAGAATCCAGATGTCCGTTTTTGAAAGAGATTCAGAGAGGTCCGCATCGTCGACAGCGCGGACATTCAAAAACGCATAATCCAAACCCGAAACACCGTAAGCTTCCTATTCAAAGAAAAATTGAAACCAAAAGTGATTCATCAAAAGACGAACCCCATAAACCTCCATTTCATTCAATTTTCGTCCACCCCCACCAATCTTTTGCATCGCTCGAATTAAATGAGATTTTCCCGCATCTTTCTTCCCTGATAAAACAAGTATCTCTCTCTCTCTGTTGGAATGACTTGCCAAGAACTAAGATTGTTGATTTTTCGAACTCAGCGGTTCTCGCGGCGCTTTCAAGAAGAGACTTCCATATCCCCTGTGATTTTTCGGGTGCTCCATGAGGCACGCGAACACTTGCGATGCGTTTTAACGCTGTGGCAGCCATTACTGATTATTAATCAAGTAACAGGAAATGTCACACTTTGCTGAACACACAGGTCAGTGGACTGTAGTTCATATTGAGACTCGCTCGCCAGTGAAGATCTGGAAGTCCAGGTTTCCATTTTTTGCATGTTAAGAATAAAAACGAATAAAAACATATTTTCGAAACTCTTTCTTTTACGATGAGAACCAGGGATGTTGCAGAGCTTCAGAGGCAGAAAGTCGGAGATGAGGTTCATATTCAAACATTCTGATTTAAGAATTTTGAAAACAGACATATGGATCAAAACAAACCTTCTAAGGAGATCCACGAGAACAGAGTCTGCGGGTAGAAGCGCTTGTTCGAGTGATTCAGACGGGCATCGTCTCCAAAGAGGGAAGAGCTCCTAAAGGAATTTCCATCAGTGGAAGAACGACAAAGAAAAATACCTGATAATATCGGAATTGGGACACCCCTTTCCAATACGCTAGAGTCCTCGAGGGTTGATTGGTGGGTTTTGCATGACCCTTTGTCAGTTGATCACTGTTGGGTTCAACTGGAGTCCCAAGAATACGAAAGATACGAAAGAGTGTATCAATTTCCGAATCACCGTGAAAGACCGCCCTCCCTGTCACCATTTCAGCTATGATGCATCCAACACTCCAGACATCAAGAGCTTGGGTGTAATTTTGATCACCCAGAAGAAGCTCTGGAGCTCGATACCTAAAGACTTGATGAAGTGATTGATTTGATAGAAACTCACCATAGAGTAACAACTTCATGAGTGCTTGTTTGTGTCGGTGTTGTAAATGTTCTTGCTAAACCAAAATCTGCAACTTTTAAGTGGGTCCCTAATACAAACAGAGTGGCTATTATTGGTGCGTTGTATTTCTCACCAGTTTTATCAAGTAGAACATTTTGGGGTTTAAGATCGCGATGAATGATTCGTCTAGTGTGACAACAAGCAATACCACTTAGTAATTGGCGTGCAAGTGATTTGCATTGATCGATTGGAAGAAATGGTCTGAAAGATGCAAAAGAAAGATGACTTGATTCACAATGAATCTACAACAATGAACGGACTTCGTTTTCTCTCTGTTGCGATGATCTCCGATTTTTTTAGTTTCGCTTAATTTCTGCTTCAAATATTGTCTTAAATCAATTTCGCACAGTTCAAAATGGAGAAGCCACAATTGAGGAACATGCGCGACATCGAAGAGCTTCACGATATTGGGATGGTGCAATTCACTACGGAGCCACAATCAATCAAAGTCCCAATCAATCAAAGTCCCAATCAATCAAAGTCCCAATCAATCAAAGTCCCAATTGGTCAAAGTCCCAAAATCCGCTTACCGTAGCAAGACAGTTTCCCGCAGTGCTGTCGTTGGAACCCCGATGTGTTCCATTGAATCTTCTGTTTCATCTGTTCGAATTCTCTTCAAAGCGACTTTGCGTCCACTCGGAACATGCAACGCTTCATAGACAACACCATAAGTTCCTTCTCCCAATATTCGCAACCTTCGATATCGTAAATCCAACTCAGCAAGTGTCGAAATTGATTCGCACCACCCTCTGCAAGTCATCACTGCCACTTCTTGAACAGGAAATTATTTCAGGATTAAGTTTAAAATGAGAAAACAAAAAGCACTCAAACAGACAAATTCATCCTTTCCTCCTTTTCTTCCGTCCCGGTTGAGAACCTTTGCTAGTTTGTTGTTGCCCGCTCATATCTGCATAAAAAAATTGAGAGGCACCAAAAATGAGACATCAGGTTAACGAATTGATTCTATTGGTAAATTACTGACCTCCTTCTCGTTGACGAAGCGTGGACGTTAGATCGGAGGGCAAACTGAAGGGATCATTTGGATCAATTGGATCCCCACTCGCCATCCATAGAGCAACTAGTTGAGTGAACTGATCAATGTGCTTCAAATCGTCATGATACTTCGTGCGAAATTTCAAACACTGAAACCAAACAATTTCAAATACGATAGAAGTGTGTAAATCCATACCGATACATCATCAGTGACTTTTAAGACCACTTCAGGGTGTCCGTCAGAGTGATTGGAGTATTTGCAAACGTACCGAGTCTGATAAAAGAGACAAACCAGATGTCACACCCGTCAATCTGTGCCCACGTCTTCAATACACTTACCTTTCGTGGTTCTCTTGCGTAGACTTCACGAGAAGCTGCTCGAAATTCCTCGAAGCTTTCAAAGTAAACCATTTAAAATCTCAGGCAGGCACCAGACCAGACGCTCAAATGGTCCTTTAACAATCTTGAACTAATTTGTGGATTTTCTTATGTGCAGTCTGCCTCCTCCGACAATAGGCATCTGAAATCTGGAGCGTCCTTCAAATCGCTTGGGAGACCCCCATGTGCGACTCTTGGTTTCCTTTTCATTTGGGTTCATACAAGATCGTGGACTGAATTGTACTTGATGCATATTTCTGCGTAAAGTTTAAAGAACTAGAAAAGCATACAAGATATAGTTCGCGATACGGCGATTAAAGACGAAAAAAGAAGAAAAAGTGAAAAACTTCAAATCCAATTTCCGACAAGATCTTCGTGGCAAAGTTGCAACTGCCATAGAAATTCACGAGGGGTTTTAAATTCTGGATCTGGATCGTCTGAGAACTGCTTTTCAAGGA